TATAAACATGGGCTAATATTGAAGATTAATAGTCATTTCTGAGAGATTTACACCTTTTTTCCTTCTCTTGGTTGCTCCTGGCTAGCTAGGGTTGATTGATTCTATTACTGTTACTGATTCTGCAGTGTGCATAATCTATTTTTAGTCATCTCCCTTATCTTTAGCAAGCTTTATTCAATTTGCCCTTGGCAAACTATCTGGCCAATCTTTAGATAACAGAAAAACGAAGATAAAGATAGAAGAAATGAACTTTGAAGTGAAGTTTTGAAGCTTAAATGTTCTATCTTTTGATAACTTAGATATCAAATTGGCTAATATATGTTGGTGTTTAGTACTCTCGGGAAAAACTAGTGCATTTCGAGCGTAAATTGCTTAGTTTGGCTCATTGACTATTTTATTTTTTATTTCTTTATTACTTATGAGGTGATTTCTAGCCATTCTCAAAAAAATAATGTTTCTAAGGAGAAATTAAACTTTTTAAAAATCCAAGGGCTCTGGTTTATGCTTAAAGTTTAGAAATAGAGGACCGTTTTTCTTGTACACTTCTGATCTTTCTTAAAAGTTAACAATAAATTGAATTTTAGTTATTTTAGATAGGTGATTAATACGGTTATCTTTGTTTCTTTTCCAGCACCAGGTAGTCGTAGGTTTTGATTACTTAAATGATTTCAATAATTAGCACATTAACACAAAAAGGTTATCTTTATTTTTCGTAGAAGGACTGTTGAGAGAGTTTACTGACTTTAACAGTGATTTCCAAAATTTGAAATGTTAAAGTGTAAGCATTGTAATTCTTGAACTGAAAAGGTAGCTGGGAACCTTTTTTTTTTTTTTTTGATGAGAAGACAAATTACATTGATCTTCTTTGAACTTCTCAATTCTTTGAATTTTTTTTTATTGCATTGATCTTCTCTGGGTTTTGCTTAAAAAAAAAAAAAAAATCAAGTTGGACTGAATAGTGGCACAATCTTATTTTAAGAACTGAAACGTGTATTCTGGAAATGGGGGGAGGTTCAAGTAATTTTTCAGCAAAACTAAAGAAAGGTACTGTAGTCTACTATTGATAAAGTGCTTCTATAATAAAATTTTCAAATTTGGGAAAGTGGATGCTAGTGATAAACAAGGCCAGGGGGATAATAGTAACAAGCTTAGAAAGTCATGTGAATGGTAACAAGCTTAAAAAGTTATGTGAAGTTTATATTTAATCATCTGATGGCGGTTCTATTTGAGGCATTATGTGGTCACAAGACTCACTTCATAATAACCTTTAACACCTGACGATTTCTGAGGTTTCTATTCAAAAGGAATTGACTAATGGCTGCTGTCGTCATGGTAGATTATGGCTATTATTTGCTAGGACCTGCAATTGCTGATTGACATAGAAAAATGAACGCTTTTTGTTGAGTAGATTTTGGATTTCATTTATTTTTAAAGCTTCAGTGCTAGATTTATGCATGAGTTTGAGATATTTACACTTGGTGTCTGTAACATTCAATGCAGATAAAAGCGGTCATATAACTTGAGGTATGTCTTTTTTTGTGTATATGGTCTGCAGAGAAGCATTTTGAGGAGATATATTGCAAAGGATAAATGACACTAGATCAAGCGGTTGCGTATGCGTTCAATGGTGGATAAAATATCTCAGAGCAATGTCAAAAATCTGCATGCTTGAGGTACTATATATTTCTGTTCGATTTTGTTACAGAATTTGCCATTAGGTGTTTTAATGTGAATGCACTTGTCTATACAGAGCATTAGTACCATTCCTGGACTGACTGAATAATTCTGTTGTTTTTAGATACCCCCTTCATTCCCGGAGCCTTATGCATATTAGAAAAATTATGATACATTTTAGCTGCACTGGTAGCACGTTGTTTCTTTTTTATGGACTCCTAGAAATCTCATGTCTTTGGGCTTCTTCCATGTAATTCCATTAATTCCATCAATTCTATTACTATATAAGTGACCAAATCCTGAAGTTATGAGGTTAACATTGAGCAGTTAAGGTGAGCTGGAGGAAATGTGGCAAGTATCCAGTACCATGGTTGGTGGCAGATCTTGGTGATAAGTGGAGAATGTGCCTTCATATAATGTGAATACTCTATACGTATTGATGATATCACTTTTTGAACTTTGTTTGATGTTTTCATCGCCATATTAGATGTTATTTCTGGTTGAGTTTCACTTTCGTACACAAATCTACTTTTGGTGTGTCCTTGTAGCATAATCTTGTAAGCAGGCTATTATGCAATCCGAGTTGAAAAGAGCTAGGGGTGAAGAAATGCCTTGGTAATTATTAATAAGACTCCAGAGTCACTACGCTTTGAATAGCTTGTTGTTGATTGGTGGTGAGTGTGGCTGATGTTACTGTCAATGTGAAGCTACAGTACCGTTAAATGGTAAACTTAAACTTAATATTTTTTTCTACCCCCCTTCCCCCCCTTTGTTATGATTTCTTTTCTTCTTATTTGCATTGAAAGATTTATCTTCTAAGAAACTGTCAACTGGTCATGCTTAAGTTATGTCCCTCGAATTTCCCTATATGGATAGTGTAACTACATGGTGTTGAGGTTTCTTGAGGTGGAGTTGTAGCTGAGGTTCTTCTAAGACCCTTTGATGTAGATAAAGTGGATTATATTTTTTATAATTACAGATGAACTTATGGGCTTTATGTGCCTTGCTTCTTTACCATGGTGATAGCTTGTATACGTGTGAGCTTGAACAAAATTCTAATTCAAACCTTTGTGGCAACTTGTGGCACTATGTTTCATTTTTGTAGCTTATAATAATGTTGTTTTATTCCTGATTGAGATGTCCCATTTTTTCCCCATTTGAGAGCATTGTAATGCTTACAGCTTAATTGCGATGTTTATTGCTGGCATGGAGGTAGTATAGGGTTATCTGTTATTGCAAGAGTAATTTGATGAGCTCGCTTAAGAAACTAGAAAGATATAGACGAAATCTACTTCATCACGCATTGGACCTTTGCATAAGAGGAAAATTCAATCAAGTGTCGAAGAAATAGTGGGATTAATGATCTGAGCATTTTTCTTTCCTTACATGACCATAGTCTTGTAACAAATTTTCTCAATTGTTCCTATCCAACCAGATGAATGCATATGATATGTGTTGATGTGTGGTTCAAACCTTTCTTTCGATGTCTATCCCAGTGAACTTTCTTGATTCAATTTTTTTGCCCCCAGTTTCTTGTTTTGTTTACCTCCGTTGATTTCAAACTATTAAGTAAACAATGAATAGCTGCTATCTCAAGTTGATAGAGTAGCAATTTGCTTCCTTATGAAAATTTTGGAAGCTATTACTCTACATGAATGTGCTTGGTTTGTCATATTTAGCTGAACTAGCATTATTTGTGTGAGAACCTAGTTGCTGTCAATGATTTCCTGGGTTTGTTACTGGAAAGTTGCATGATGTGATAGAGGTCGGAACTCATTATCGAGTAATCTATATGAGCCGTTACTAGAGGGTTGCTAGCATTATATTAATTGAAACTGCTGCTGCAGCAAGCCCTCGTTTTTCATATGTTTGGATCACCTCTCTTTTTCCCTGCAAACTTGTGTAGCTAGTTATAAAATGAGTTTGAACGTTTTGGAATCTCTCATTTCTCTCTTTATTAGGTTATTGAGAATTTATTTTTCTCCGTGTTGCCTGGATACTGTTAAAAACCTGCTAATTTGCTACTTTCTAAATACCTCTGTTGTCACAGATTGAAGATAACGTGTGGGATGGATTTGTGTGAAAATGATCATATAGTGGCCTTATCTGGTGATGAACATACGGATCAGTTTGCAATAGAGGCTGACGGTAGTAAGAAACAACGTCTGGAATTTCATGGTACTAGAAGTACTGATTTAAGCACCTATGATGCTCACGGTCAGAAAGAGTTTTACTCACCAACTATTACTCAGGAAGAAATAATGCTGGAAGAGGGGTCATGGTCTCATCAAAGTGAAGGTGTCTTTCCTTCACGTGATAGTGAGGCATGTAAAGAAGTGAAAAGACCATCATCAGATGATACAAGGATGTCAGGTCATCATTATAAGAGTAGCAATATAGATTCTATTGACAGTGAGCTTTGCATGGATGACACTGTGCTCGGAGATAAGTGTGTGGTGGAAGATGATAGTGTGTGTGAATACCCAATCAACCACATATCCGAAGCTGACAATGAACTTAGCTTTCTTGACAATGATGGGTGGCTGGATATAGGGAACTTTGAAGACGTTGACAGGATGTTTAGGTAGGGAGGAATTGTTTCATTTGAATGGAATTTCCTCACTTTTCCCATTTTCTGAAATGCTAATCTATTTATCATAATGATATATGGCTTAAATTTGCAGGAGTTGTGATTCTACTTTTGGAATGGGAAGTCTAAACAATGAAGAGGAGTTCTGCTGGCTTTCCTCCTCAAACGGCACTGATGGATCTGATGATGTATCAAAATGTACATTTAAGTTATCAGGAGCTGAACCGAGCCTATTAAAAAATACATCAGATAATGACACAGACTCTAAGGCCGGTACTGGTGGTCTGTCAATCAATGATTCCAATAAGAAAGCATCTTCGTTCAATAAAAAATCGAGGACCCGGATGGATGTGGATGATTCAGTCCCTGCTTCATCATCAGTGCTCAGTGAATCAGACATTAAATCTGGTGGCATTGATGACTCAATGCCTAAAGAAAAGGTTGGTCATAATGTGTCTCTTTTTCATTTTACAACCTCGATTATGATTTCTTGAATTTCTACTTATGGACCAACGGTTCTGTGTGGATTCATTTCTCAAAATACACACTCCAGTAATAGTTCTTTTGGAAACATATGATATAATAATTTTGATTTAGGCCTCTGGTTTATGTAAATTGTGAATTAAATTATTGAAGTTATTGTATAGCTATGTCACCATCTGAGACAACATGATTCCCCCCCCCCCCCCCCAAAGCGAAAAGACAACACAGATTCTTGAAACTTGAGGGTTTAGAAATTTAAATCAAGATCATATATATTATATCATTCTATGATGGTGCTAGATCATATATATTATATCATTCTATGATGATGCTGTGATCTATCCATGAACTGCTAATCATTATCCTTATAATCAGAATTACAAGTAATAATTGAGGGTGTATTTGGGGCCAATCAAGCAAATATTCTTTCTCCAAGGTTTTCATGTTAGTTATTTGTGCTGTATTTTTCCCATATGTTTTATTATCCATTGCATTCATCTGGTTTGCTGTGTAAATATTGTGGCCATCCATTAACCGAAGTAAATTGTTTCTTTATTTGTATATCTCAAATAATATACTTGTTTTGCTGATGCAGAGGAAACTGTCAAAGCCATCAGAAGGAAGAAGGAAAAGCGAATACCTAGAAAACGGTAATGCTGTTTATCCTTGTGCTCCATTAAAGCAATATGGAGATGTAAAGGAAACTTTTGGAGCATCTTCTGGCAAAGTTAGTAGTTCTCAAGTTAGCATCCAGAAACGTAAACCAAACAATGATTCTGATTCATTAGGATGCTTACAAACACAGTTAACCGGCCACACCCAGGGTATACTGATTTTTCAAGTAATACTGCCCTCCTTCCAGCTCCATCCGGATCCAGATCTGAACACAATAGCCTTCCATCTCCTTCTCTTATAGAATCATCTTATGCTTCAAATGTGGAGAGCTCTCAAGCTCATTCTTTGGAGGCTGCTGCTTTGATAGCAAATGAAAAGAGAGAAAGATTATATCATCCCAATGCTGCACAACCATTGACTAAGAGTTTCAAAATTGAAAATATGGCAGGTTCATTGCCATGTCAAAGTCCAGTTTCAGCTCAGCAGCTAGTGCATCAGTTTGAAAATGAGAATGAAGGCCACAGTGAAGTTGATGGAGTTAGTGTAGGATTTTCACAAGAAACAGAGTCCTCAAATGTACAGGAAATCTCATCAATGAGCTCAGTGGATGAAATCTCACTTGAAGCAAGCTTTCGCCAACTGCAATTGGTCATGGATCAGGTATTGGATGCATCCATGGTATTCATTTTGGTTGCATTTGTTTCAGGGTTAATACAAATTTTAGTCCTTCAAGTTTACCCTCATCTTAGTTTGGTCTCTGAAATTTCAAATCATAGGTTTTGGTCCCTCAAGTTTCTTTTCATTTAAAATGTTGGTTCCTATAATCCAATAAAAGCTTAAACTATTTTGCCCCTTGAAGGATCAAAACTTATAGTTTGAAAATTGAGGGACTAAACCAAAATAAGGACAAACTTGAGAGATCAAAAATTATATTGCTGCTTTATTTTATTTGTGTCTGTCAGACTATGAAGCTGAAATTAACATGTCACGGTGATTTTTTTCCATGTGACTGTGTTAACACACACTATAGTCCTCCTTGGCCTTAATGTGCAATCAGTTACTAAGAGTTTAACATTAAACTACTACTGACATTTTACAGCCTAAAGTTCTAGTGCATTAGTTGGTTGTCTTGATCCCAATGCTTTATTGATAGGATCCAAATTTGGTAGGGAGGGAGAAACAAGGAAGAAAAATCTTTATAAAACTATGAAATCAGAATCTAACTTCACAAATTAATAAAGCTGAACGAAAATCTTCATTGGAATGAGTAAGAATCCTGGCTCACAACCAACAAAACCTTAGGCTCTCTTGGTTGGAGGGTTGTTGAGGGGAGGGGAGAAGAGGGGAGAGGAGGGGATGAGATAAGTGTGTTTAGTTGGAGGGTTGTTGAGGGGAGGGGAGAAAAGGAGAGAGGAGGGGATGAGATAAGTGTGTTTGGTTGGGAAAAATAAAAAGGAGGGAAGGGAAGAAATTTGTCTTTTTTGCTCCCCTCCAAATTGGGGTTTTTTGGAGGGGAGAGAAAATATTATGTCTAATATTGACTAAACTATCCATATTAGTTTTTAATATTCCAAGCTTGCCTCTCTATTAGAAACCTTTTTCTCCTTTCTTTCTCTTTTGGCTAGTATTATTATACTGTAACGGAGGTTACCGACTTACCACTTAGCTGTTTGAAAAGCTAAAGTCTTTGCAATCGTCAGTATGCCTGCATACTTAATTTATATATATAGGCTTTACACGCTGTATGATTGTTTTCTATTAAGTTCCAAGTTCCAACTTTGTTGTGTTGATATAATAGTGTAGCATGCATGGCTTATATTTTGCATAAATTGAAAACGAATAGGAAGAAAATACTCAAATTGAGAATAATTTTAATCAGTTTTTGAGAGTGAAACTAATAAAAATATATGTATTGAGCAATTGAATTATTTTTCATATACACCGATTGATATATACATATCACAATGTGTGTATTATAATTATATATCATGGCGTGTGTGTATTATGATCTCAAATAGGTTGCAAACATGCATATATATTAATATATACATATCATAACGTGTGTGTATTATAATGATATAATATATACATATCATATATATTATTACACATGCGTGTGTATTATAATTATAAAATTAATGAGAGAGAATGTTAAACTTATTATCATATTTCTTTTTTTTTTGTTTTATTATTTTTTTTAATCACATGTGAGGTAATTGGTTTTTTTTGAAATCGATAAATTAAGAAATAATAATTTTGATATAAATATTGTAATAAAAGAATAAAGTAGTCTAAATATATAGATAATGGCATATTTGTTAATTTACAATTACCTCCTCTTCCCTTTCTTTATGAATCAAACAAGAAATCTCTCCTCCCTTCCGTCCCCTCCAACCTAACAAAACCTATGACCTCCTTTCTCCTCTTTTCCCCTTCCTTTAAATGACCTCCCCTCCCCTCCCCTGTGTTGAACCAAACAAAGCCTTAGGAGAATCTCCACTCATAAAACAAATACTAATTTTATTTCTAGATGACATTTACATATATTGAGCCTCAATATTTATAATCAGAAATATAACTATGACTCCCTAAGATTTAGGCCCACTAACACGACTTAGGAAAATAACAGATTGATAGAAATATTTGACTCAGTAAATAATCCCAATCCTAACAGACTCTGTTTGGTCCTGAACTTGTGCTGCACTACCACTACTAAACCCACTAAAATAAATATTAAAAAATAAAATCAGCTTGATTCAATTCCACACTTTCACTGCACGTTTGGTTCTCTATCATTTATGTGCCAATCAGTATGGTTTAGTAGGAGTCTGTTAAAATTCTTAATGCAATTGAATATGGGACGCCATGTAAGTTTCAGGCATGATGAAAAAAAATTCTCTCTGTGTTTATCTTAGTCAGACTAAATGTGAAGCTCTGGTCAGTTGATTGACGCTTGATATTTGGATGGGCCATGGAAATCGTTTGAAAAGTATGATAATGGAAGAAATGGCAGCATGAACAGATGGGCTTTAAGAGGCGTTCATTTTAGAAGTCTTTTACATAATATAGAACACAATCCTCAAAATAGCTTTCAGGGCTCCCGAGTATTTTTAATGAAGTATTTATTAATTATTATTTTCAATTCATTAAGGGATTTCTTTGTCATTTTCTGAATGCTATTCGCTCAGCTAAATCGGTGCAGTAGCTCTATCCGGTTAAGTAATTAAAGGGAGATCATATTTGCTGCACAGCAGCCTTGCCCCAGTTAATGCCAGCCATTAATGAGGGTTATTTTGTGAAGATACCCATGGGGGATTTGAGCTTTTAAATGGAAGCCATAGAAGCTTATTTTGCCCACAGGGAAATGTTACTTGCCCCATGGTGTAATGTTTATCGTGATTACGAAGTTGATAAATCGTCTTTCTTATCATATCCTCAGTTGTTTACTTAGGTTTTCTATATTTATCGGATTTATCCTCAGTCTGTAAAATTCTTAATTTCATATTTTATTTGCTCAATAAATAGAAGAGTTGATGAGACATTCAGAAGTTGATTACATGCATGAAACTTATTACTGTATGTACACAACAATTGTTGGATTGCAGTTAGACATAAGGACCAAACTGTGCATAAGGGACAGTCTATACCGCCTGGCTAGGAGTGCTGAACAAAGACATAACTATGCCAAAGGAAACGGTAGCATTGGAGAGAATATTGAGGCCTGCAAAGCGATGATGACTCAAGATGTGAGCGGGTAATTGTTTGCATTCTTCTAATCCTTTTTACATTTCTACATTTGTTGACTACCAGGCAATTACCCTTGCTGTTGGAATGCTGCTTAGAAGTTTTTTTTTTTTGGGGGGGGGGGGGGGGGTAGCCTGAGAGAGAAAACGAAAGACCTAAGTTTTGATAAATTCTCAATTTTCCAATTTTCGAAGTTGAGGGAAGCATTTTACAAATGACTCTAATTGAAGAGAAGTATCTACATTATTCCCATTTGTGTGTGTTGGGGTGATACGTGTTTCTCAAGGTAACGGGAAAGATGAGTGCAGAGAATTCTGCGTTGAACTCCTCTGTTGGTTCTGAAAAAACCTTCCACACTTTGCATATCCATGGAAAATAATGTCGTTGATAGTCATTTAGCCAAGCATAACAAAATTCTTTTTCAGGTGTTCTGGGTTTGTGGACATGGAAACTGATACCAATCCTATTGATCGGTCTATAGCACACTTTTTGTTTCACAGACCTACTGATTCGTCAGTGATGCCTCCTAGTGAAAAGTGATACCAGCTTTGGCATTATTTTTGTGTAGAATGTGTAGCTTCAAGTATATATGAAAATGTACTAATATTTGGGGCCTACTGAGACGCCTAATTTACATTTTTTTCCTTTTAGCCCTGTGCACTGGCATTAATGTATATTCTGCTGATAATCACAATATAAGTTAGCTGCTAAGCGTGCTTCAGCTCATTGAGTATACCAGATTTATTTGTATTAAAGTTTGTGACTGTTGTTTATCTATTCGTCTTCTCAGTCGGCACCTTTTATCACGTGGTGGTTATAATAATATTTTAATATTTTACATAGAGTCTTAATTATAAAAGTTAGTTGACTAATTTAAAGAGATTATGAAAATAAATTAGTTATTTGTAATAAATGTGTTGTGTTTTCTAAAATATCTTTACTAATCAAGTGTATTGGCTACAATTATTATTATTAAAAGGATTATATTGAGAAAAAATGTATAAATATGGGAGATGAAGTAGATTGAGGTTTTCTATTCAATATTAAAATAAAAATCAAATAAGATTTTACATGAGAGTTGGAGTTAGTAGTTTTTCTTTCCATCCAAAAATAAGTCTCCACGAAATGTGCTAGATATGGCATCTTTCCATTGTACAGCGCACAATTTACCAACCACGAGCTGGAAAAATAGGTTAGCTCAGCCTTTCACAATTTGGAGAACCCAATTCATGAGGGCGGCTCTCATTTTAAATGGTTAAACGGACTTAAATGAGTCGACGGGTATGGCCCTGAGTTCCCGGCCTTACTAATAGTGCCCATCTTTGTCATTACATGTTCAAATTTCTTCTTGTCTTTTCATTTTTGCAAATTAATTTAAAAATTAAAGACCGAGTAAAGTGGCGTTTATGCCTCAGTTTTAAATATAAATCATGCTTCATAAAATCTTATGTTTTATTTCACGAAGTTTTTAATAGGAACTAGCAAGATTTTACCCGGACATGGAATTGAGACCAATGTTTTGACGGCCTGCATCATTTGTAAAGGAGATTGCAACCATAGCCTCACCTCAAGAATATTGTGGTGAAGCCAAGTGCACATGAAGTAAGGAAAATACCCCTTCGGTCTTTAATATAAAACCCAATTATAGAATTAGTTTTGGTCCTAAATATAAGACTCACTTCTTATATTTATCATTTTTCTCTAAACTACCCCTATGAATACTCCTCCAACCATAATCAAGTAGAGAAGAAAGAGGGGGTATTGAGAAAGATGATTATGGTGTTTGAGGAAAAACATGTAACATTTCTTATAATTAACTAACTTACTTAACTTCCTTAATTTAATCAAATTAGTTAAATGGGTCTTATATTAAGGACCGGAGGAGTACCTTTTCATCTAAAATGTCCATATAAATACGTCAAAGTTACTTACGTCCTTTTTAGGTGTATTTTTCATTTTCTTTCTTCAAAAACACTTCTTCTGTGTACCAAATATTTTCACCGAAAAAAAAAAGCTAAATATCTGACACTTGGCATGACAAACCCCAAATCGGATTTGGTTTGGAAATGGCCTAAAGCGCAGCGATCCATACTTACCTATGGCTTGCTTTGCACGAAAGATTGCTCACAAAAACAATGAGACGACATATGGCCCAAGACGATCCACGTCGACTTTGCAGTAAACCTAAAGACCTTGATCATGTCTAGGGATGTTCTCTTGCGTAGAACAGCGCTTATAATAGCTGTTTTACGAGGTTTAGGCTCTGCTCCAACACAATACAAATGCCAATGAATTCACAATAAAGCAAGTGTTGAACTCCTTAGCCCAACGCGCATCAATGATCCCATTTGATGCTCTTGAATGGTGACACTAGAACTCTGCCTCTCTTGTAGCCTGACATTTCTTTTCTGTAAGCCATATAATCCTATTTTAACATTATAGCATGATTAGTACACTTTCTGATAACGTACAAATTTGTCCAAAAGTTTTTCTCACATCACCCCGCAAAAATATCAAAACATGGTAATATTACCTCATTCTATTAAAAAGCTAACATTAACCATTAAAAAATTAACATTTTTAATAACATGAGACAATATTATTTCATTTCAACACTTCCGAAATAACCTTAAATCCAAAAAACACTTCCAAAACACGCTTCCGAACAACATCGCTCCAAACTTTCGATATAAATTGGTGTTTAAACTCAACGTACAAGATATTATTGCTCCTACACAGGTATGATGTAGAAATTATAAATCCTTTATATTTGCTACATGCGAACATCTGGTTAAAAGATTCCGGACAAATGAAACTGGATTTCTCATGAATTCAAGCATCAAACAAGGCAAACGTACATTTGATACTTCAGATTAGAACAATGATAAGATAACTTGTTGCTTGTTGATTAGAGAAACTTTCCAAAAATCAATAGGCAAACATAGTTAACAAAATGAATACTATGATTGCCTTACTTGAATGGTGAGTGGTCAACACATATCAACAAACATACAGCTATTTGGTCTCTATGAGGACCTGAATGCCTTCTTGGCTTACAGGTATATTGGAAAGCTTCAATTTTATGGCCTCAAACTTGGAGTTTTCTATCTCTTCACCAGTTAACCAAAGAGGCAAATAGTGATCAATCAAGTCCCTTCCACGACTCAAGGGTGAACCTCCATTAAAAATCAGGGTTCTCCCAAACCTCATAATGCTTGCTAGATTAGAATCAGAAGGCTCTTCAGCATAACTCTCAAATATTTCCCGGATTGCTTTGCACCAGATCGGCCGAGCAACCTTAAGGAAGTCATTCAAAACTAGAACTGGAAGGTTCACACTTCCCAGTTCGGACTCATTGCGCCCTCCCCTCCCATGATAGTCTGAGCCACCAACCTTGAAAAGCCCGTAAGTGTCTGCCAGGTCATCGTATACTGCAGGCCAAGATTTATACATATCATAATCCAAGGAAAGAAATGACGAGGAAGTTTTACTTCTATTTACGCAGCGTACATCATGAGACATCCCACAGTAAAAATAGGCTAGGATAGTTCCTACTTCAGTTTCCTCTTCAATAACCTAGGCTCAGAGGAAAGAAAAATGTGATTTGAAATTCTTAATCGTGCCCAATCACAATGACTATTAATTATCTCCATGCAAAAGTCAATCGGAATTATCTAGTTAGTGTTCCCATCAAAATTTTGGCAGTGATTTCATAAGGAATACTTGATAAGATTTGGATAAACTGAAATATTAAAAAAACTTTGACATAGTTTTCAAAGTGCAGAATTTGTAATAACTAGTTCTAGGTAGCCTTCATGGTTTCATTTCATTACCTAATTCACACTAAGGAATAATTCACCATACTCATTCTCAAATAGATTTCACAAGTTATTTTTCTCTTCCACAGACGACATACATCTTCCTGTAGGAGTCAGACTAAAGCGGAGGAAGGAACAGAATTGAATATTTCAAATGACGTATCATTCAACCCCTTTCTGGTTTACAGTCAGATAGATCATTCCATCCCAAAGGCAGTGTAAACTGCAATCGATAGATGCCAAAAAAGAATCACTAGCAAGAGTTGAACCAAATACTTACCAAGTTCAATCCTACATCAAGCAAACCATTCTTGGTGTTTAATATTCAACTTATTCGTTAATGCACAACCAATCTAGTTTTTGCTTTATAGGGAAACTAGTAATCCTAAATTATGAAGTTACATTATGGTTTCAGCGACCCAAAAAAAAAAAGGGATTAAAATTTACAAATCATCAAGTGGTAATAGAGTACCTGCCAATTTTCCATCACTTCTGTATACCTCCATTCCATGTAGGCCAGCTTCTTTTAACCTTTTGATGACGGGAACGGGATTTTTTAGAGCCCATGGATGAGCTAGTACAGCTACACCACCTGTCTGACAGATCAACTTTATTGCTTCTTCCACTAAAGGCTCACTTCCCCTGAAACATAAATACCATAATACCATATTTTTCATCTTTTTCCTAAAGCAGTAGCAAACTATAACATGTTAAGATAAAGTTCTGTGACATTACGTGGAGTAAGCAGGTCCACCATCAAAAAGATACCGAGCAAAGGCCTGTCTTAGGTTTTCTACATAACCCTTTTCAAGCATAGCCCGAGCTACGTGAAGCCTCCCAGGGGCAATCCCATTGCCCGCAATCCTGCAAACATGCTCCCACTTAAGAGGCAACTCGAGCTTGTTCAGTTTTAAGACCATGTTCTTTGCACGAAGAAAACGGCCATCCCTTATATTAGATAAGAATTTGTCCAGCTCCTCAAATCTAGTTGGTCCACAGCTACTGTAATATGCTAAAATGTGTACTGGTTCCTCTGCTTCAGAGTCTCCTCTGCAAGTAGATGGCCATAAATCAGATACATAAGAAAAGAGTGGTTCTGAACATAGGAAGGATTTATTTTGTTTTACACTCTTAACTGATTAAAAAAAAGAGAAAAAAAACTATAGATTTGAGAATTTCAAACTCTCTCTCAAGCAGCTGAAGTAACAGCAATAATCATGAATAACAAATATTTTGGAAAGCTACCTTGGAGAAAATATCGTACTAATTTCAACACCTGGAATAATTTTGATGCCATATTTACGAGCTGCCTCTAGAGCCTCAGGGATGCCGGACATTGTGTCATGGTCTGTTAGAGCTAGAACCTTAACCTGTTACGAACGAGTAATATTGATTAAAAATGCGCACAATATATTAAAAAGGAAAGTGCACTCCATAAGTACCCCAAGTTTAATTCAATCATATTTTGCTATCATAGGTAACGAGTCTTTCAAGTTAACTTGGACAGCATCCATAGCTCCATACGCATGACCACTTTAAGTGCGGGATTTTCTTCTGAGAAGTCAATTCAGATTTTAAAACACAAACCATAGCCCAGTAACACAAGGAAAGTTAAACCATCCGAATTTGAGAAAATAGGTCTTAGAGCAATGGTCAGAAGGTATAAACAATAGTCTTGAAGATAGTAGGATACTACATATTCTTCGTGTTATCTTGCGTATGCACAACCTACAATCCTCTTGCTTTGTAGAAATCTATGAAAAAAGTCGCTTTAAGCATAATACTGTTGACCCATATGTTCTAGAGGGTCTTATCATCCCTTGATAAGATACCCTCTAGAGGGTATCTTGCTCAACTGCTCCCTTTTCTTTGATATCAATCTTCTAGCTCTCCTCAGTAACAGAGTACAAAACGAAGTCAAGTTTTGTAGATATTTATTTTTCTGATTCCTCATAACCCGAGACCAGTAAATTCCTTGGCAACAAAAAGAACAAAAAATGCTATAGACTCCTTAATTTTCAAGAAGGCCGTACAGCTAAATGCCAGGATATGAAAACATTAAAAAGATGACACATGCATTTATTCATTCTGAACAAGTTAATTCTTTGATCAACATAATAAAACATAAGCGGTCAGCTATGTATCGGGTTCAGCTTCATGACAAGCCAATCTGTTAATGGATATGTATCTTAATTTCAAGTCTATTTGCTGCAGACTACACCATATATTAACAAACAAACAGAAAAAGGATACACTTCAGTGAATCCCATATGCTGAAAGAGCCTGCCCCATGAAAAGAAGTGTTAAAACAACCTTTACAATGAAGAACCTTCCCAGGACACATAAGGCTTATACATTTTAGGAATAGAAGGGGAAAGCTACTTTAATTTTCTTACATCACGGTATTCATATTTAAAAAGAAGTGCCAACACAACCTTAACAATGAACTGATGAAGAGCCTTCTCAAGACACATACGGCTTATACATTTTAGGAATAGAAGGGGGAGCGACTTTAATCATCTCACATCACATTATTCATAAAAGAGCAGAGGACAACAGATGGAAGATCATATGCTATGGCTCCTAGTCCCAGAAAAATCTGATTAGTCTCAAATATACAACTTTACCAAAACCAAGGTCAAAATTTGAAGGAGCAGCCGAGCAAGATTCATACTTCCCAAATTAACCTTTCTGGGTGAGAACTAGGAGTTCTTCGATGGAAAAAAACAAATTAACCAAGAGAAAGGCATACTCTTCTGGTACCTTTCTCAGTCTGACATGCTATGAACATAACATTCCAGAGTTCATTCATGACAGTAAATAGATAAGCAAACTACGAAAGACCACCTTAAAACATCTATATTGAACCGCTATCATCGCGCAAAGCTAGTAAAATTTACTTCACCAAAACATAGAATATAACATTAAAGCTTCGAAGCAGCAAATTTAGTACTCAAACATGACAGTAAATAGATAAGCAAACTACGAAAGACCACCTTAAAACATCTATATTGAACCTCTTTCATCGCGCAAAGCTAGTAAAATTTACTTCACCAAAACATAGAATATAACATTAAAGCTTCGAAGCAGCAAATTTAGTACTCAAACAGAAACTACATAACATTTATACACGTAAAATTCATCTCATACATAGCATCACACTTCGTAGGTAACCTTCCGGGAAAAAAATGTAAACAAAGCAAACAAAAAGAGAAGAAAAACAAAGAAGAAAGCTACCCCATTTTCGTGAGCCTTCTCGACCAACTCGGAAGGAGACAAGAACCCATCGCTGAATTTGGAATGCGAATGGAATTCAAACACCACCTTCTTCTCTTCCTGACCTGTTCCCACTGGACTAATCTGCAACCTAAAACCATCATCGTCCAAGCACAATGAATCGGAAGAAGGAGAAGGGTGATCCAGGAAAACCCATTCACTCACAGACTCGAAGGCGAGAGTCTGCTCAGTGGTCATCTTCTTCTTATTGCCCCCGCCTCGCTTCTTCTTCTTCTTATTTTTATTCTTCGTATCGTTTTTGGAATCATTGAGACCCTGAATCACCAAACCATCTCCCATCACTGAATTGAGGGTTTAGCCCAAAGGGGTCAAAAAAGATGCAAACTTTTTGAGGGATTGTTCGTTCCTCAGGTTGGGATGTTGGTTATACATTAGGAATGTGAGAGGATAGTATCATAAAGAGAGAAGGCAGAGAGGGCTTAGCTGAATGAGCAGTCTTTTGAAGCACAGGTGTCGTCACCCTTGTTTCCCTGCTCAGACATGGAAGGAGCGGACCCAAAATAATACTCCCTCTCTCCCCTCTGTCACGTACGGCAAGTCGGCAAACCAAATTTATCACTTTGTCTTGGGTTCTTGGAAACAATCTGCAATCAGAACCTATCACAGTTTTATCCATTCTTATTATTTAAAACAGAAAAAACTCAGCATGGTCAAAAACCAAAAAACAAATGGGCAAAAAACTCATCTTTGAGTCTTTTCTTTTGCCATTTGTGTTTGGTTTAAGTGAAGGGGAGGAAAGGGCTTATCTCGTTTGATTTGGTTGAAAAGAATGGAAGAAAAGCAATAAATAATTTAATTACTACTTTCCGTTCTTAGTATAATAGTTAGTTAACTAATTTGAGTAGATTAAGAAAATTAATAAGTTAGTTATTTGTAATAAATATATATTATTTTTTAAAAATATTTTTACTAATCAAGTATTTCGGTTAGAACTACTATTATTACAAGAATTATTTTAAAAAATATATAAATATAAAAAATAAAATAGATTGAAATCTTATATTTAGAATCAAAATAAAATCAAATGAATTCTTATATTAATTACAAGAGGTAAGATATTTTATCCTTATCTATGACATCCAACGAAATAAACAAGTAGAAAAATTTTACCACATAAAATGTATTTTTTGGGAGTTCCCTTATTAGATGACATATAAATCGTCGCTTGCAAGTTGTAATCATGTTATCGAAGTGGTTTTTTTTTTTCCTGTTAATATAATACACTTAAATGCACGCATCTGCATACAAATATGAGAATGCTAAGTTTCAACTCAGGATTTTATCTGAGGATGGCTAGTGGCATTGTTGCCAAGGAGTGGTACAAAATTAGTTACTTCAATTTGCAAAAAATAAGAAAGGACCCAGTTATGTTTTGACTGGGACTCAAGAAATTATAGGGACACAAGAAATAAATTCTGATTGGATGTAGAGATAATAGGCACGTTTTAAGTGAGTCCAAGATTCTTTTTTTTTTTTTGGGAAAAAAAAGAAAGATAAAAAAGTGGTAATGGATGGGAAGCAGGGGGGAGGATTATTGATGTATGGACCAATCTGCGTATATCATTCGTACAGGACGGAGAAAACTCAACATTGTGATTATAAGAATTACAAACCCTCAAGGACACCTCAATATTCTTGCAGAATTTACAGCCAAACAATTTAAAAATAAAATTTCTTTTGGCAAAGCAATTAATAATGCGACAGAAGGAAACATCGGGGGAGAATTAATATCAAATATTAATATGAATCGTTATTAATTAAATACTTAATAATAAAGACAAAAGAGATAAAGATAGATAATAGGACAAAGGATAGACATTATGACAGACAAGGCTGGCTCGGACATGACCACACGAGAAGACCAACATCAACACTTACGATTCTGTGACATTTATTTAAGAAATTAGGTTTTATCCTATTCCTATCACATGTGGACAACAATTTATTGTTATTGTCACCATGAACCATCTTGTCCTTCGTTTACCAAAAGAGGCTTTTTTTGGGTTTGCGGTTTGCCTGTTTGCCTGATTCTTTAAAAGAGATAGAGTTTATAATATAAAAAATTAGTTAATTTTTTGCACATTGAAAACTAAAAAATTAGTCATTAAATTTATCCTAGAATAATATGATTCTTCTATTTTATTTTTAAAGATGATAAAGTTGTCTTTAAAATTTGTTTGGTACAAGGAAAATGAAAGAAGAGAGAAAATTTTAATGAGTTTCTTTTAAAAAATTAAAAAAATATGGTTGAAATGTTTTAATTAATTTTTTTATTTTTATATTACATCCTTTTTTATCAAAATTTTATAACTGCACTTTCCAATTTTTTTAAAAAGAGTTCATCAGAATTTTTCATCTCCTCTTCTACTTTCCGTTCCCTTCATACTGCACGGATAATATTACATTTTTGTTATCTCTCACATCTCTTCTATCTCTTATATTTAAAAGAAACGGAGGTAAACATTTATATTAATTATCTTGATAATATTTTATATTTTGAACTATAATTTTATTATCAACGTCCTACATTATAGATAAAAGGAGTAAAACAATATAGTAGCCAACTGGATTCGAGAAACTATGATTATACCCGATATAAGATAAGTCTGTGATAGCGAGTAAAATGCATTATTATTAACACTAATTTATACTTCCTCATTTTATTTATAAGTGCTTATTTAGATCTTTTGTTCTTTTAGTCTAACTCTTAAGATATAATTGTTATTTGTTTTTAATAACACCTTATTAGAAAGTAATATTTAAATTATAAAGATAGCTAAGATTTAAAAATAGTACAGCATTAAACGAAAGGAAATTTTTTTTAAAGAATTAAACGTTAAATAATAATTTGTTTTCTCCTTGATCTATGTATTCTTTTTCTATGAGGACAAATAAATACGGACGAAGGAAGTATTTGAGCAACAATGACTCAGTTTTCTTTATTTGCAGGGTTTTAAATTATATTTAAAGCATATTACATTTTTTTTTACTTGATGCAACTATCCTTAATAATATAATTTACGACAAATTTTATATTGATGTTGACACGAAAATGTTTTGTGAAAAATGTAAGAATTATATGAAGTTAGATAATTTGTAAAATTATACAAAAGAGAGAATCTCAATCAACTCCTTAATTTTTTTTTTTGCCATCAGTCAACTCCTTAATTCATAAGAGATTAACTTACACCTTCGATTTGACTGAATTTAAAAAAAAAAAAAATTTAGAGGTCCCCTACACAAGTGCCTTTGACGTATGAAGAAAATGCTACCTCTAGTACTTACTATAAGAAGTATATAGCTAGATAATTAATCTGTGAATATTAAAAAAATTAGTTAAAAATTATATTTTAATGAAAATTTCTTTACATGTGCAATCAATATATCGATTACTGAGGGCAAAATAGATAAGTATTAAAAATAAAACTGATTAAAGTTTTATATTTAAGATCAAATTAAATATTTAACTAGTTCTTATATCATATTAAGAAGGGAGAATCCTGATTAAATCTAGTTAAAATATTAAAATCCAAATTAAGGCCTACATTTTTAACAAATCTCTAATTAGGCCAATAGGCCTAGTTAGAAATTTTTAAATATTATTTAAAGACTAAAATACCTTTTTATAATTAAAAATAATATTATTTTGAAAAAAATTTAAACCATGAGAACTTGACATTATATATAGTATTTATTTATACAAAATGTTTTACGTAAAAAAATTGGAAATACTAAGAGCAAAAAATTGACAATGAATAATATAATATTTTATACTAATTCTGATATATTTTTTTCGATAGCCACTAATTCTGATATATTGATAAGAAATTTAAGAGAGCAGGGACTTTTTTGTGGTAATGGGAATAGGACTTTTTAATTACTTGATTCCAACAATATTAAATTAATAACTTTTCAAAGGAAATTTTTTTCTTCTTATAATTGAAAAATCAGAATTTTAGTGTATTAGTATATTTCAGTATCAAATTTTTCATTTTCTTAAATTATTTGTTATATCTGCTATATAAAAGCTCTCATCATGTTATATCTTATAATCTTATTGCTAAAATTCTTACTAATAATTAATATGAGTTTGTATTAGAAATTTAAATAACTTTTCCAACATTTTATGAGACGGATAGAGTAATAAAAACTTCAAAAAAAACATAAATTTTACTCTTTTAACAACATATAGAGTAAGAATGCATAAAGCCAATGGTTCATCTAGTGACATCTCAAGAAAAAAAATTTTAAGTTATAAATTGATTGGACTGATTACTAATTTGCCACTTTAAATGGGTATTTTAGTCTTTTAACAACATTCAAAATTCCTAATAAAGTCTCTTGGCCTAATTAGGAATTTTTTGAAAGTGTAGGCTTTAATTTGGATTTTGATATTTCAACCAGATTTAATTGGAATTCTCCCTATTAAGAATAAGAGGTAGTATAGCTGGCATTACCAATGTCAAGACATCACAAGTGGCTGTTGGAGCTTCATTGTGAGATCCACTACGTCTGTCACAAGTGCAAAAGGTCCTACACTAGCAAATGAAGCAATTGGAACCTTTTAATAACTGGTTTCTAAGAGGTTATATAGCTAGTAAGCCCCCAGTTCACTTCAATTTTTATATACAAAATATTGCATGTGTGCAACTAATTCAACTTGACGTGAGTGGTAGAGATTCTTATCACTTGCGTATGCCGTTAGGACTTTAAATCTAAATCTTTATATACAGATATATATGTGTATGTGTGTGTGTGTGTGTGTGTGTGTGTATATATATATATATATATAAACAACTTGGTTAGAATGAGTGTCTATATTCAATCCTCAATGTCTTTGTTGTCGGGAGGTTATACTTTTTGTGCTCACAAAATTTTTTTTTTTGTATATATGTGGAAATAATTTTCCCAATCCATTGAGATTGTGGATTTAATTGATCTTGCGATTAAAACATGCATACGATAATAACAATAAAATTCATGAGCAAATTCGCTTACGAAATCAATGCAAGACATATATAGCGCGAGGAGTTACATTATGTTGCTAATAAATATTGAAAGAATTATTTTAAATCACATTTGAAAAGCATAAAATCTACTCTAATTTATTAGGGTTTATCTTACGGATTTGTACAAAATTAACCTCATTCTATTGATTAGATAAAATATATAGAAATCAAAACTATATACTTGAAAACCTGAAATCATCAGAAGTATTTTAATTAATTAAATTAGTCCAAGTTCAACTATTATAAATGGGAAAATTATGCATGCTAAATAGTTATTTTAATATAAATAGATACATGTTCTGCTCAATAATTCTCAATTTTCATGAACTTATACATTATATGCATACATATGCCCAGATCCACCTAACTTGTACCAAGTAAGATAGGTCTGCAATAATGATGTTGTACGTAGAAAAAGAAAAGAAAAGTGAGGGTGAAGAGGTACAGTACGGTGAGAAGACTGTAGTGCAGTAGATAAGGTTTGACGATGTCGACGGTTTTATTATGTTAACAATGCATGCATGCATGCAGCCCCTTTCTGTCGTTATTTTCAGTA